AGCTGTAACGGAGGTTTTCTGATCTATCCAGAATAACAAATACACAGATACCCTTGATATCGAAAAGCATTTTCACCTTCCTTACACCTCCAGAGAAGTCAATTAATGTGTGTAGTAGACAGGACCAAATGCGTTAGATGAGCAACTGTGGGAAGAACAGCAACGAATTCAAAAGACCTAGCAAGAGCGTAAGCAGCAGGTTGACTGGGAATTTAGTAACACAGGAAAATATACTGAAAATACAGAACTTGGGAGGTGACCAGACTGCAAATCCTGAACAACACAAAGACTAGAAGATGCATCAGACACATCACAGTCATCAGCAAGCCCATCTAAGCCACAGTTCCAAGATGGAAACATCCACAACAGGATCCAACAACGTAAGAGAAAATTTACAAGTTAATCAAAAACACCTTGGCTACTGGATTCTAGAGGAAACTTATGGAGAATAAATCAGTACTGAGAGAGCACCAAGAAGCTCATTATTTGAACCACGATAACAGAAATTAAGTATATGGAAATGGCTGGGGGTCTACATCAGAAATTATTCGCAGTTGTACCAGGCTCTACACTGAGATCCTGGTTAGGCTAATCATCTCCTTGAAGACAAAGCCAGTTTTCATAAAGGAGAAAACTTGAAGGGTTATATCACAGTAGCTTGTTTCCCTCCCCCCCTCCCCCCCACACCTTCTATCCCCAAAAGAAATAGAAACCAAAAGTACAATTAGAAGAAAAAAGCCTTATACAGGCTTCTAGACGAAATCCTTCTAGACCATTTTTATGTAATTACAGAATTAACAGATGAAAGTTATGGATTTCAGTAAAGCCTTTGACACATCATCTTAAAACTGAAGAGATGATATGTCCCAGATATATGTACAATTACCCATAGGAAGACTGTCAGCTGAACAATATTGTGAAGCCAGAGGTTAGAATGTGGCCCTATTTTTTAACGTATCTGTTAATCATCTGAAAGAATTACAGACAATATGTTAGATTAGTGCCCTGAGCCTAAAGAAAAGATAGCATGAAATGTATCTGCAAAGGATCAAAAGGATGCTGATGACTGTCAACATTCTTATTTAAAATAGAAAGTCCACAGAATAAAACTGCATAACAATGGGTTAGAGTATATATACCATAATTTATGACACATATTAGGGCTTCAAGAAGAAATACAACACTCCTAGTTTACCTATCCTTATATATACACTTGCATTACTATGCCATTCAGAACAGAAGAGATTAAAAAACTTGAGACTATAAAGATAATAAAGACATTTGAAGAAATAATGTAGGATTACACGATAGGCTTGAAAAGAGAAGTGAGGAAATGATGCGAATGCTATCTTCAATAAATGAAGGATGTCTAGAGTAAGAAGAAAGCCAGTGATTTACCTGTAAGCAACAATACAACTGTTTACAGAGAGAACAATTAGCCTTGACAAAGGCAAAAGATGATAAGTTAGACTAAAGGAATAAACCACTGAATGCAGCTTGAGAAGCTTCAAGAGTCGAATGATCATACACACAGCCATTTTAACCTGAAGTCACTGCAAAGAAATTTGAGCACGTCCAATACTATTTAACAAATCTGTGATAACATATCTTCTGGTAACTGAGTCTGGATCTTCCTTGGGTTTTATGTCCTTTAAATTTCTCCATGATTTTATTACTCAGGTTTTAGAATTCAAGAAGCAAATCAAGATATAGGCCCAATCCCTACAATCTTCTGTGGTCATTCAGACTAGCTATAAGGAAGAATTTTTTTATGCTGAGGGTGGTGAAGCACTGGCCCAGGTTGCCCAGAGAGGTGGTGGATGCCCCATCCCTGGCAACATTCAAGGTCAGGTTGGACGGGGCTCTGAGCAACCTGATGTAGTTGAAGATGTCCCTGCCCACGGCAGGGGGGTTGGACTAGATGACCCTTAGAGGTCCCTTCCAACCCAAACTATTCTGTGATTCTATGATTCTAAAAAAACAAAACAAAAACAAAATCACCACATGCATTGGGCATATGACATGAATACGATATGAAACTTAAAGAAAGATTTGGCCACAGTTTCACCTGGAATAGCCCGGAGGAAGCTCTGCAGCCAGCCTGACAGCGTTTGCTCAAATGGAAAAAACAGGACATTCTCCTCCCGAGTCACCCAATCTCCAAGGGATTACATTGGATTCAGCAGATACCACAGTTATGGAAGAGCAGCTTCTGTTGTGCTTCTGCACTGTTTTGTAGGCTCTCTAGTATCTTCTGAGTAACACTGAGCAAAAATAGAGAGACTACCAATGTCTGTGCCTGCCCTGGAATCTCTCCATACCAGAGAATTCAACAGCATAAAGGGTGTATGTATTAACTCCTACTTTGATTTTGCAAGTAGTTGTGGATGGAAGGACTAATCAGCACTTCTCCTCTCATCACCTTTTGTTATTTAGAAAAGTTGTAAGAGGCTGTTACAAAAATTGGTATTGGAATCTGCAGAAATCTAGAACAGATTTGCTGGTCTATAATGTATAAACAAAGATGCTGCATTACAAGCAACAGTTCCAATAACTATTCATCTGCCTTTTTGACAATATCTATGACGAATGCAGCAGCAGAGCTGTACAGAAGTTTTCATCCTCATGTTTTGAGGTTTATTACTCATGGCATTCTTTAATCGTCTCACATAGTATCTTAAGTCACAAACATAAATTCATAGTATTCTATGTAGTGATACAATAGAAATCTAGTAATATGACAAAAGAATACTCATACTTCGTAAAATTAGTCATTCAATGTTGGATCCTAATTAGAGATGGAGTGTTCATTTGGTCCCATTTCTAAAATATTTGTGTTTTCATAGAAACCTGCATCTGAACCAAATTCAGCAGTTCAGACACATTTTTGTTTCTTGTACATGAAAATAATTATATAATGTTTGCTCCCCTTCCATAGATAAAAAATTCAGGTCCATTAAATATGAATCTGTTTTCTCACTACTGGTCAACAGCAAGAACAGCTGTCAGCTCCTTTCCTCCTCCCCAGAGCAGTCTACGCACAGTACGACAACGTTTTCTGATCACTAGTCTTTTCTGATGCTCTCCTATTTGATTCTCTATCTATTGCTTAAGGGATTGCAAACCTGATTATCTGATCAGAGTGTATCTGGATACCAGAGCAGAACTGCCATAGGCTATGAACCATGCTGGCCTGGTATATTAAGCAAAAAGCTCAGTATAAAAAAATATAAATAATGTAAAGTTGTTCCCAGTACACTTTGTGCTAATCCTGTAAGCTGGTGAATTTCTGCAACATTACTGGGAATTAATTTACTTTGCTTACTGGATTGGATTAGTACACTAGTTAGTGGTTTCAAATTCTAGTTCATGATTAGCAATTTGCCACTAGACTTTGGCTATTCTGTTACATGGCTGAAATATCTATTGTATGAAGAAGTATACAGAAAATATCTCAAGTGAAACAGTAGACAAAAATGTACCTCAGCTAGTGGTTATACTCTGACCTATGGACCTTACATTTCCATTGATGTTAGAAGAAAGACTTCAGGTAAACACAGATCTAGTCTCATAAAATTACCTACAGGGTTTCTTAGTTAATAAGTTTGATTGTTTAAAGGGAAACTGATTTTTAAAAAATAAACTTGACAAATTAAAAGGTTGCACCTTTTTTTACATTGCTGAAAAATCACCAATAGAAAGAAAAAGATTTTACAGAATCTTCACGAACTTTACAATGGTAAAATGTGATCTATGATACCATAACATCAAAATTAATCTCCTCATCATGCATTTGCCTTCATTCATGCTTGTCTCAAATTAAAAAAAAAAAATAAATAAAAAATTAATGAATGGGTGAGATCTGCACCATGACAATATAATCCTCCATCTTAAAAGACTATAAACTACAGCCTATAAAACTGTTTTATGCTATCAACATGTGATGGATTTTTGTTATTCCAGCAAAAATGGAACAAAATGTTCTTCTGTCCGCAAGCACACTATGGTAGTGTAGAAGTTCTGAACAAACGTGAGAAATTCCACCACTAGAGCTGTATGAAACTTAAGTTTCCACTTCACAAATAATCACTTGGGTTTTTTCTGATTTAGATTTTTTTTTTTTAATTCTGATTTTGATTTTTTCCCTTTGGAGTATCATGCTGAATTACAAATTCAAAAAGCTTCCCATGAGAAAAAAAAACAAAAGAAATTAACTTTAACTTTCCAATTTTGCATGCGTGTGAAAGTTTATACTTTTCACATTGAGTACATTTTAGCATTCAGCCCAGATTTGCCACTGTGTGAATCTCATCTAAAATGGTCAAAGTGAAAAATGACAAGTGCTTTATGATAAGTGCTCCATTTTCATTAAGCATAATGGATACTTTTCCCAAAAGTGTGTATCTTGGCAAATGTATTTTCTGCCTCAATTCTCCATCCTCAGGGGACCATTTTTAGATTCAAAATCAAGTGCACAGCAAGTTGATGCTTTATTTCTGAGCAGTTTCTCATGTAGTCAACAGTATCGTGGGCCATTATATGTTGAAAATATACAAACTTTTCAAGCTTGAAACACTTCTGTAGCAAATATTTCTTATCCAGGTTATCAGAAAGATTTATGAAACTAGGTTAAATTTAGGTTTTATTTCCAACGTTCCATACAGCTCTTACTAGAGTATCAGCTATAGCCATCATTTTGGATTTATTCCTTTGGAAACTGATTAGACATATTTAACTCTACATCCTGACTGAGAAAACATCTCACAGTAAAGCTTAACTGAGTGCATGCTTTAGAAAAACGTCATTCAGTCTTCCAAGCTAGAGGGCAGCATTCATTGCTGAGGTGGCTAAGTACACTGCACTGCAGAGCTAAGACAAAATCATAATAATCCCACTCCACTCATTTTCTACAAGAAATTACATTTTAAAGCTCTGTCTGGCAGAAGTGAAAGTCTGCCTTGCTTGGGCAATCCTAAAAATATATCCCCGTTTCAATTTACCTTATTGACATCCATTCGCAGCTTCTCATTGTTGGCACTGGCAGCTTTTTCTGCCGCTTTCTTTTGACGCTGAGGTCCCCTGCCAAAGAAGATGTAGTTGACCAATGCATACTCCAGCAGAGCCATGAAAACGAAGACAAAACAACCCATAAGGTACATGTCAATGGCTTTCACATATGGAATTTTGGGAAGAGTCTCTCGAAGATGGGTGTTAATTGTTGTCATCGTGAGCACAGTTGTGATTCCTGGAAAAAAAGGATTGACAAGTCTACTGATTGAATTAATTTTCATTTTCTAGCATAATAGCTCATAACATTCAAATGCTAGCGCTTAAAAGTAGGAGATTTTTTTTCCTGGTGGAAAAAAAACCACCCCCAAGCTCTGTCTACGTTCCTTATCTTTGTCTTCAATTTTTCGTACCGCAAAGAAGATTACACCTGTAATAAATTGCGTTCAATCAAACAAACAGCAGTTGGATTCTATGAGTATGTTTTTAGCCAGCTAAACTGTAACTTTCTCTAACGAGTCTCAGTTATAAATTACCAGCCTAGACTCACTGCTATCTTGCCTTCCTCCAGCATTTTCAGGATGTCTGCAGTCTTGAATTGTTATGGGAAAATGCTACACAGAAAGGCCTGGTAAAACTCAGACAGTATTCTATAAAGTTAAACTGTCAAATTCTCAATTGTATCTTTTACGGTGATTTACTTCATTTTATCTATATGAGAGCTGTACTGGCAGGGATCAGTCTGATTTATACAAAATTTGGCAAAAGATACTCATATTTATTTTTGTAACATGCTTGAATCCTCTGATGGGAGAACAGTATAAACACACCATATTAGCGATGCGATATAAAAGTACTCTAGAGATTAATTAGGGAAATGGTTTTGCTTTTAGAATATAAGGTAACAGTAAGGAAAAAGGCCCTCAACTTAAGGAGAAGTTAGCTATACAACCCTAGTAAAACTTTATTTAATTCATACCTGAAAGGAAAAGAAATTTATAATCCATAACACAGTACTGAATGTGTATTCTGGACTACCATGAGAAAAGCAAACTAAATGCGTTCTCTTTGGAGAAAAAGAAGCAGTAAAACAACAACAGAAAATGTTGAGACAATTAGGCTAATTCTCGTTACAATGATAATACAGTTAGCTAATTCAGACATGAAATCACTTTAATTTTTATTTAAATTGTGATGATTTAAATGCCAATTCAAATAATACAAAGCTTAACAAGCCAGACATAAAAAGATCTAACAGATTTATTTTTCAAATCATGCACTATCCACTAAGCCAGAAGCTAGAAAAAGCATTCAGTTAATGCACACTGCATGAGATGTGTAAAAATGCCTACCTAAAGCAACTCTTGCAGCTGAAGCGTCATAATTAATCCAGAAGGAAACCCAGGACAGGATAGTGATTAGAATAGAAGGCATGTAGGTCTGCAGAATGAAGTAACCAATGTTTCTCTTGAGTTTAAAGCTGAGAGACAGCCTTGGGTAGGCACCTAAAAGAGAATATTTGGTATGGCCATAATTTGCTTGTATAAAGCCTGAAAACATTTTTCTGTCATTTTGGTTTTATTGTTTCACGCAACATAGAGTAGACACAAAGTTGAAAGATCCAGGATAATCAGCTGCAGAATTTTTAGCGAGAACTGGGATTAAATAATCTTTTATTCTAAGGGTACATGCATGCTCTACGCGCATATCTGCTGGTAATCATAATATTCAACAATCAACAGCTGAAACACATTTCAGAGCATCAAAGCTTAGAAATGCTTCTTCTTGGACAAGCTGCGGTATGTCTACTTCAGTGTAACCCTTATTCTAACCTTCTCTCCAAGCAACACAACACTTGCCCTTTGTCACTGGACACCAGAAATATTTTGGTGTATGAAACACTTGTTGAAATAGGTGCCTAGAGATCACTGTTCAAGTCCCATTTCTGCTTGGTTTTGAAGAATTTGGGGTGCACAATCCTTCTGTACTCCCTCCAAAGATGATTTCTATCCATACCTAGAAAGTGAGTTTTGAAGATTTTTCTTTTTAACACACCTAGCAGCTTTCTTAAGTAGGTAAAGAACAGCAAATAGTAATAGCGCAATCCAGCTCTTGTCTCTCTTGAATAATTTAATGTCATTGAAATGTTCTAGTTTTTTCTTGTTTTGTTTTTTTTTATTTTATTAAATCCAATCTTATTTTCTACTCCTCCTCACAAAGCATCTTTTCAGCCTTCAGAAAGTCACATGCTTGTTAACATAGGCTAAACTACATATCCTGTGGAACAAGGATTTTAAATGTTTTACAGCAAAGACAAAATAATTAGTCTAATGCATCCACAGCTTGGCACAAGGAACCTCTAGAAATAGTGAGAGAAAGGTTCCTAAATTTCCTACAGGCTGGGTTACTTGTTGGGTTTAGGTCCCTGAGGTATATAAGTGGCTTAATCAGTTTTCATAGGAAAACAGAAAATACAGCTTATTTGACTGAGCCTTAACATGACAGACTACTGTATCGTCTTCATATGTTAATGAGTGATGCCTTATACACCGTGAAAGCTGTAATAAAAACAGCTCCTTTCAAAATTCACAGTTGCTGCTTTAGTTTATTACTGTTTCTAAAATTCTTGCTTGGATCCTGAACTTAATTGAGAATTAACCCGTTTCTAAAAGTCTTCCCAGTGAATTCCCCTTTTAGCTTCCCCTCCACAAACCTGTAGAGAAAACAACATTCTTGGTGATAAGCTTGTAGTCTACAATGGAGAACTGTGGCAGTTCAATCTTTGTCACTCCTGTGACTGCATTATCACCCCCACGCCAGTAAAATTCAATGTCATCTGTTGTATAGCCATCTATAAAAACAGGAGTAAACAGTTAAGATACACATCTCTTCTGACATCATTGAGAACAGTCCAGAGAATTAATTCAGAAAATAGCTTCAAATATATTTCTAAAACAAAACTATTAATAACATAATAGATATAAACATACAGACACAACTATAAATAGAATTTCAAACGGCAATCCTAGGTGTATTTTAATCTTTGTTTTTTTAAAGATATATTATATCAATATATTAATAAAGCAAACGTTTAAAAATAAATTAAGACTACACACATCCCGTATATAGATAGTAACTGTACATTCAGCTTATGGTAACTTCTGATCCCGAGGCTGGATAAAACAGCCTGGGTTTGCTGTAATTTCAGCCCTTGGGCTGAAACATCAGCACTGGTAACAAAAACATGACCAGGTCACCAAGCGAGGCCTGGAAGAGATGCTCTTCTGTCTTGTGCAACATGATCAGCATAGGAAAGAGGACAATAAGAGTAATACGGGTAAGAGAGAAGTTCAGCGTACAATTATCTCACGATATTTTCCTCTGTATGCTATGTAGTTTATAATCTGACTACAGATGAAAATGACAAACTGTAGTTCAAACCCATTTCGATTTTACTTGTAAAACCAGCATCATTCTTTTCCTGAAAATGGCTTGAATGCAATAAGAGACAGCCACATTCAGTGAGACCCTTGTAAAAAGCAACTGTAGCAGATGCAACAGCCATCACTCTGGCAAAAACACACCCACAAAAAAACAACCGAAGAAAAAAAAAATCCCACCACCCACAAAAAAAACCCCAGAAGACGGCACATGTTCACACAGTCATAAAACTTATGCATAATATATGAATCTGGGTTCACCAAATTGCCACTGAGCTAACTTGCATGCTCCAAAGTTGGTAAACAGAACTGATCAGTAGACATCAGAAATAAATCTGCTACAAAACCAGGAAATAAGATATTCAAAAAAGTTTGTAGCCTTTTAAAGGCTTTTGTTGTTGAAAATTGAAAATAAAAAGAACAACTCAGAGATAGAATAATGACTATGACCTTTTGGGAAACTGACATAATAAAATGATGTATATTTGACCTTGATTTTAAGTTCTCACCCGCAAAGGACAAAATTATATAATAAACACCATTTTAGAGTGTTCAAATAGCACTTAATTTCAAGGAATAATGCAGATTATGCATTTTGTGATAACCTAGAAACTATAAAACTGTTTCCACGCATCATTAAATTTTGATAATCCAAGTATAATCCAGATGCACAGCAGTAGCAGAAGGCAAACAAGTTTCAAGATATGAACCCAATAATCTGTAAAAACACTGAAACAACCATAAAAAGCTATCCAATATACAACAAGTTTTAAAGTAGTTACATTCTTATAGCATATTGTTATCAATTCCATTTTTTTGTATATTCAACTCTCATTCTGTTTTTCATGGGGCTAGCAGCAAATCTAAAGTACGGCAGAGGGCAGAAAATGGAAGACTAATTTCGGGAATCATTTCATTCATACAGGACAGATTTTGAACAGCTCATCAACATCAAGAATTCAAGATGGAACCCGCTCTTCTTTCAAAGTTGCTGACATTGACAGCAAAACTGATGAGAGAATAGATTTTTTAAATATTTGTGAAATAAGTTCTTCCTTAATCTTTCCATTTACCCAAAAGTTCACTAGCTTTAGCTGATGACATTAACCAAAGAAAAAAGAAGCTTGTATCTTCTAAATAAGCTTCAACAGTTAAGGGAGAAAAAGTTCTACAATGTGTAATATGATATGCTTTTGACATATCCAGAACTCCTTAAGAAATAGTTTAAATTCACATCAACAGATAGCTTACGTCAATGGTCACTGATTTGTTTCCTCTCATACTTCCTCTTGTTTCACCAAGAGGAGAATCCTCAAAGGAATAACTGAACATAATTTGGACTAATGGCTTCCCATAATAATTAGCTTCCCTCCTCTGTTTGGACAGTGCCATCAAAAAATTGGCTAAATTCCTCTATACTGAATTTTTGTGAAACAAAGAATCTCATAGATATCATAATCTTTGCATTTATTGTATGTTACTTGTTCAGACTCTAAAACATGAGAGGTCTGAAGAAGAGCCAAGATTACTGCTATCTGTCAGTAGAAGACCTGTCCTCTGTAATCAAAGAAGCATTAACCGTGACTCCACAATCATACTGACGTTTCTTACACACTTTGTGATACAAAGTATGTTCAAATCTGCATTTTTAATCAACAGAACTCATCAGCTTTGAAATTGTCTCATGAAGATCAACATGTAATTGACCTTTGCTTTTCACTTACTGCAACTTTGCGTAGGAAAACTTTTAGCACTCCTCATAGAATTCTCTCAGATAAAATTTACAGCACAAAATTGTTGCATGTTGACCAAGAGATGCTGTATTTAGAGATAAGAATAGTTTTAGCACAACGATTTCAAACGGCTAAGCAAAACATCCTTAGTTCAGCCAAGACTGTTAGAACTGATTTTGAATTGTTCTATAGTATCAGTTAAATTATTTCAGAAGAGTCAAATTACAGACTTACCCAGGAGATTGGAATTGTTTTGTTCTCATGAGAAAATAATGTATTTTGCTGCTTAATTATGATTTTCTGAGATTGACTAATTATACGAGTGCATCCCTCCCTATCCCTCATTTCTTCGTTTAACCTTGTTCTATTTCCTCCACAATATAAAGGTAGCAAAAGATACACAATGGAAGAGCACAATATTTTAAGAGTTTCTTTCCTTCCAAAATGACCTGAAATACTGAGACACTTCTAAGTATTGAATATTTTAAGAAATGAGGAATACTTGTACTTAGCCACGTAATTGAGATTACCATAGTTTCTGAACTAATAGACTTGAGCTGTGAAATACAACTTTAAAACCTTTGACAATATATTGTAATCTTTAAATTAGCTTTTTTATGTTCATTACTTCTTGTGGTAAAAGTTCGTACCAAGTTCTGGCTCTGACACTGTTAATGTAACACCTCGGTAACTCCTTTCCTCCTCCCTGGGTTGTGGGCGTGAATGTCTCATCCTGCCTGGCCCCATCCTCTGGTTCTCCAGTGGATACCTGTAAAAGCTGTATTCCAGCAAACAGACTTTGTTTTTGCAAATTGTTACTTACCACCTGAATCCGCTAATAACAAAAGCTGTTGTCATGCTCCCAAATACTGCATGGAAAGGCGGCTCTCTGCCCTTTCCGAGATGTACACAGGACCACTACACCTGTTGGTGTACCTTCTCCCAGTGGAGAAGCAGTTGTTTGTGACAGGAAGGGAAATTGCTGTTAGCATTGGAGCACTGGCTGTTGACAAGTTGTTTCAACTCTCTGCAGGATACTAGACTTTAAGTACCGCTAGATCTGCTTCATTTGCATTAAAAGGCACTTTTCCAGGAAGATCAATGGTACATGGATGGAGGTCATTAATGATTGTGTTCATGGCAAGACAGACCCACTTCAATAAGACATTTAAAGAGAACACATTTGTTTCAGTATTTGTGAAGCACAAATCCTTCATTCAGTGCAGTAAGTTCTTTGGTCATTTTTCCAAGAGTTTCATGGTATAAGGAATATGTGCAGATTCTGCAGACCTGAAATTCATTGGGTTGTCATGATACCTTTTACTTTTCTAGTCACAAGTCTATCTTCAGAAAAGAGGCAGACAGCTTACTTATGTTTCCTTGTCTATCACCACTTCATATTTGTCAAGTCTCACTCTAGGCTTTTCAGAGAGAAAAATAAAATAGAATCTAAAATAAAATAAAGAAAAATGAATAAATTGGCTGATACTGAGATGTAAAAGCAAGTATATGTTATGAAAAATATAAAAGAACATCCTTAGAGAGTTTAGAAAGAGTAATGTTACATACCTTGTTGTGAGGGTTCACCCTTACTTTGTGATACTACCGAGTTTTGCTGATGTTCTGTCTCAAATCTGCCCTGCCCTCCAACAGCAAGTTCCAGATTATAATATCATTTACTGAACTTAGTGGGATTAATCAAGGTAATTTATTTAATTTTGAGGTAATTTAACTGTTAAACTTCATAACTAATAAATCAAACTTTTATTTTTCTTTCTGACAAAATAATTGTTAAAATGTTACAGCAAGAAAAAAACCCCACTTTTTTATGTAAGAGAAAACATGTTTATAAAAAGCCCAAATAGCTCTTTATTTTGTTTTATTTTTTAGAACATCTGTTAGTAGAACTTTTCTTCCCAATCTCCTATACACAATTTGGTCTTGAACCATCTAATCATACCATGGTTCACGCAGGAAAGAACTCCAGGATTTATGTTCCAGCAGACAGCCAAATGCACCAGCATTCCCCGCCTACCAGGAAGATGTGGTTAAGCTTCTCCCTGTATTCACACAGCCTTAATACTAAGCAAACATCGACAACTACTTCTTGAGGAGAGCTGAACTACTTTGAAAATCGCACCCAAAAGTTCAAACCAAAGATTCCAAAATACGCAGCTGTGGGCTGTTTCAGGGAGACTGTGCAGAACTCCCTGCTGCTTAAGGTACTTACTTCGGGGAAATGCTAAGCTGACACTGTGACACTGAATGACAAGGCCTGTTAGCAGGTATCGATAAATAGAATTTCAGGAAGTCTCTTCAAGCTTTCATTAAAATACTTCTCTCTCTTTCCAAGAAGGATAAATTATCCCATTCATTTCATAACATGGAGAAGGAGAGAAAAGAATACTATAGTCATCTGCAAATGAATGCTATTGTGTGCTGCTAAAGTACCCAAATATAATTGGATATAAGTCTAATATCCGCAAAACATCTGCCAGAAGAGAGAATGGGCCTATTCATGTCTCTAGTGGCTGTTTTACAGATATTAAAGTCCAATTACCTGTGGCTATAATAAAGTCCATCTGCAGGTATTTGGGACTCAAAACAACTCTACTTACAAGTTAAAATTATTTAAAGACCAATCAATTTAAAATAGTAATAAGCAGTCAAGAAAGAAT